AGGTACATAGCCTTACGGTCGGGATTCCGAAGTATTTTTTCCTACCTTACTCCGTACTGTATGGTACGAATACCTCACAGGCATCCCCGCGGAGCATGTATCTGGAATACAATCTCGACTAGGGAGGTACAGCCAGGAGGCTACCTTACTTGGAGATACTTGCTTTACCTAAGATGATAGACCTCGGGCTCAACCCTTTCCCTCAGTACCCAAAAAGGCACTGGCACCATTTTGCATCTGCACCTCACGCTCCGCGCCGCGTACCTTACCTTGTTTGCACCACTCACTCACTTATGGCCATGGATCGCAAAGTAGCAGCAGATGTACCTCAGGTACGAAGTAAGAGGTGTCTACTGTGTGTAAAGTGGTGGTGAAAAAAAGGAGCAGGGCGACCACCACCCACCTTGCCCGCCTGCTTGGTCTTGCCTTTCCTTGCGTTAGCGTAGTCGCCGGCATTCGAGCCACTCATCCCTCCACCTTCGTTCAATCAATTCAATTTAGTGGAGGGTGGGTGGATGGATGTACGTCTGTCCAGGTCCGGGTCCAGGTCCAGGTTCGCGTCCAGGGCACCCCCATCTCATCCCATCCCATCCCACACCATCCCATCTCATGGTCCATCGCCGCGCAAGTCACTCCCTCTCTCACACATACACACACACATACACACACCACACACCACGCTCTCTCACTCGCGAACTGCATTTCCGGGCTTTCTTTACCATCCCAGCGAGAGGCGCCTTACGTACCTTGCTACCAACAGAGCTTCTTTGCCCTTTTCCCTCCTCTCGACTTGTCGCTCCATCTTGTCACTCTTTTCCAAGGCCACGAGGTAGAATTGAGATCCAACTCTCTATCTGTCTGTACCACTCACTACCTACCTACCTTGCTCCGTACACTTTGGCCCGCCTCAACTGTCCAGTCCCTCCTCTTCAGACTTCAAACTCAACCCTCGCCTCGTCCATCTCCGCCCTGGAATGCTATCCTCTGCCCCTCTCGCCATTCTTGTACGGATACACGACTGAGCGTACGACGGGAGCCTTGACTCTTGAGCCTTCTTCCCGGTCCCGATTCCGCCGTCATCGCTTGGCCTTCCCGGTTCTTCTTTTTCGCTTCTCATTGTCCTGAGCCTAACCCTTTTACTCATAATCCTAATATTATCCCACTTCACACTATAATCTATACCTTACCCTGTCTGGCCTTACCTTGCCTCCGACATCCCTCCTTGCTCGCCCGCTTGCCCTTTTTCACCATTGCGACAACCCCGGATCTATTCTTGCTCGCTCCTCTCTTTCTCAACCCCCCTCTCTCACCTTCCAGGGGCTGTCCTGCCTGTCATGTCAATCTGCGACTGCTGAACACGTCCTTTTTCTCCCCTTCGACGCGGCTGCTTGTTGCAACATCTCGACTCTTTGCCAATCTCATCCAACCAGAGCCAGCCATTCGCACACCCAACACTACGTACAACAACCACCACCAACACTTGTGAGACCAGCAGTGACAGTTGTGATCTCCCACACAGCGCCCGTGTCGCACAACGTCGTACGTTATATCTCCGACTCTGCTATTCGACCTTCCGCATCGCACGACTCCGACCGAACCACCAGACCCGTACTGTCGAGCGGCTGTGGCAGTTGTCGCACGCCAACGGTCTCTGCCGCTCGTCTATAGCCTCGCCAGACACAGCTTCTTCTGTACGCCATGGCTACATCAACGGGCTTCCCACGCATGTCCTTCGGGGCCAACAACAACCTCGACTTGAGCTTGGACCTGCCAATCGTTCTCTTCCCCCCGTCAGACGACCTGCCTTCTCCCATTTATGAGAGTGACGATGAGGATGCTCAGCGAACACCGACCACGGCTACCGTGCCCCAGATCCCAGACCGCAGCACACGCCGAACAAATAACGAGTCACCGACACTGGGTAGCCCCAAGGTCCCTCGCCATCCCATCCCCTCAATGCAGGCCGCTTTCGCCGAGTCATTTCTCGAAGTCGCCGATGGCAATCCTACTCAGAAACCGAAACTCAAAACTGCTGATGCAAAGATTCGCCGCGAGGAGCTCATTAGCCAGGAACGCGAAGATGACCTACCCGATATGCTCTGGCGATTTCGCCCCGGCCAGCAGCAGCACGAGCTCCAGAAGCTCATGGCGCAGATATCATTTGGCGTTTACTTGCTACTTCACGGCATGGCCAACAGCGCCGCCCAGGTCGTCAGTATCCTGCAGGGTCACATCGACGAGGTGGACGAGTTTCTCGAGGTGGTCATGGAGGACTTTGAGCAGGCGACCAACGATTTGAAGGAGAGGATCGACTACCTTCGCTTGCCCATGGAGAACCTCGAAGTCTTTGAGAAACTGCTAGAGGACCGCAATTTCCGCCTCGAGATTGTTCAGGGCAACGAAAAGATTGAGCATATCGTAGCTCGCACCAACATCCAGCTTGAACAGTACGACAAAGATGTGCAGCATGGCCTCGCCGCAACAAAGGAGTTTGCTGTTTATCTGGCTCACCAGAATGCAGGCAGTTGGCGTCAAGATCGTCCAGACGTGGTTGACATCTATGCCGCAATGAAGGGCAATACTGAGGGGTGGTATAACGCATTTGTAGAGTTGCAAGCTCAAGGCAAGGAGTTGAATACCTTGGTCGTTAAGCTGGGGAAGATGGTGGCTGAAATGAGCAAGAAGGCCGGCGAAGTGAGTCGAAGAACTTGGGTAAGTCGGGCCAATCGCCCTGTGGTCTACCCAGAACTAACCGCTCTGTAGGCCAGCATTCCGCCGTTCAGCTTACCGCTACAAGGCGCCCGAGTCGATGACGCACCGTCAAATTCACCACCAGTTTCACCTCCCAGAGACCCGAGGCGCTCTACGCTGCGCGCGAATAGTATGAGCGGCTCTGTCTCTACTGGGGGAAGGTCAAGTTCCAATTTGGCCTACTTTGACATCCCAATGCAGATACCATCGCCAGTAGCTTCCCCTGATCAGCGATCGGTCAAAACCCATAGAACATCGCACTCAAACAACACCATGCAATCTTTCCACACCTCTCACTCTCACAACACAATTCATTCACAAACGACCACTAAATCTCATACAACCACACACTCTCACAACACCAACCACTCCCACGAGACGGCTCGCACAAGCCATACTACTCGCACCAACCAGAGCGCGCAGCCTATCGCGCCCAAGCTCACTCTGGAGACTCCCGACGGCCCAATAACTGAGCCAGTCAGCGCTGAGGAGGAGGTGGAGGTGACACTGGACGACGGACCGCTATACATACTCCAACCACGGACCTACACCCCACAGCCACCAGAGGAACGCATGCCTTCACCCGCCCCGACCGAATCATCAAGCAAATACCAGCCCCAGCGCGAGGCGCCTCTCCCAACGAAGAAGACATCGCTTCGCCAGAGAGTTTCTTTGAAGACGACCCCTCCAGAGTCAATCCAAATTCCACCCCCGTCATCAGACCTTCATCACACTGCGCGAGAGTCTCCTCGGGAGCGTCAGGCTCCAGATTCCGCCTACGGTTCTGACTATGACCAGCGGCAGCGTTATCATGCAGCGAACGAGCTCTCTCCACCTGTACAGCAGCCGCCGGTGCTACCGTCTCCGAGGTCGGAACACCAATATTACCGCCCGGTGCAAGCGAGTCCACACTCTCCACTACAGCAAAGGCCGCTCACTGCTGGTGCGCAGCCCAGATCTCCTTATGGTCACCAGTCTGGGTACTATCCCACTCATCAGAGGAACGCACCATCCCGTCTAGGAGGCGCAAGCATGTTGAGCAACGTCACGACCATGACATACGACTCGCAGATGACAGCGAGCGGAGAAAAGCGACTGAAGAAGAAACGCAGCGCTTTTGGCTGGCTGAAGAAGGCATTCTCGCTTGACGAAGAGGAACAACGAGCATACGAAGCACGAAGGCAGCAGCAAACGCCCAATATGTATTACGACGGCAGAAGCCCCAAGTTCTTAGACGGCAAAAGGGTGGCGCCGCCACGGACGGCAGACAGCGTCTATCGCCAAGGAGGCAGCGTCTATCGACAACAATAAGTCGGCCGTGTCACAGCAGGTTGTCATGGGCCGTGACCCCCACATGTGGCTCGTCGTCTGTAAAACTGGGAATCATGCCGAGTATGGACCACTCTTCGAATTCGCCATTTTGCGACTTGCGCCCGGTATTGGACAGAAGAAGTGCGATATTGATACCCCTCGGGCGATCATTTCTTGATATTACATCACTGTAATCATGCCACTCAACAAAAACCGTTGAACATGCTTCGCGATGTACATTTTGGCTTACGGGGTTTCCGCGAGCACATAACCATCTACTCGTTATTTTATGTTATTTGGAACAGATACTCGCAAGCTTGCGAAGGAAGAAAATCAGCATTAGTGCCCTGCCAGGCGTCAAGGCGTTTTAGTCATTAATGTAGCGACTTGCCGTTTTTTTGGTGCATTTACAAGCCAATCTTATACATATACACCCGATGGAGGGCAGTAATATATGATTCTACGAGGATCCAAGACGAAATAGCGGGCCAAACCTCAACCCAACTCTAAATGAAAGCATCACCCCGCAATGTAGTGAACATATGTGATGCCTACGATTGCTGCGGTCTACGCCCTTGCGTACGCCCTACGCTGTAAGGCTAATATCCCTGTACGATTGGCCAAGTGCTTTCTAGGTCGATTTGCCGTGTAGAGAGCTCCGATCAATCCGCAGATCCTAGACTGCTCGTTTTCGTTAACTCTGTACGCCGGTTTTCTGTACAGCCAAGACCAGTCGGTATCCGCTTCATAATTTGTATCGAATAATATAAGAAGCCACCGCGAGGTCCTGTCAGACTTGAGGGGATGCTAACTCTGATTTTTTATATGTCTCTTGAATTACTATTTCACCTTTCCACAATATTCATCACCCTCTTCCCCGCTTTATACCTCTACAAGCAACGGAGAAGAGGAAGAGTTCAGCAGATCTCCCACCCGCCATGACAACCTCAGCGCACAGGACGTGGTTCATCACGGGCTGCACGAGCGGTTTCGGCGAGGCCCTCGTGCGGAAGCTGCTGGCGGAGGGGGATAATGTCATTGCCACGGGGCGTGGCGGGGCGGAGGCCAGGCTTGCGCACCTGCGAGACTCGACGACAGCGGCGCGGTTTCGGATCATGGAGCTTGACGTCGGAGCAGCGTCTGAGGCGGAGGTACGGACCCAGGTGGCTGAGGCGTGGGGGTACTTTGAGGGCGGGGTTGATGTTGTTGTGAATAATGCTGGGTATATCGTATCTGGACTTGTCGAGGAGTTGACGTGAGTTCTCTTTGGGGCCTCCCTTTTCCATGTCCCCTTTTTGTGTCCTCTTTCCCGCGTCCCCCCCCCCCCCCTTTTTCTTCCCCTCCGGAGTATCTACTGACATGGACGAAACAAGGAAAGACAAGAGGAGATGGAAGCGAGCTTCAAGACGAACTTTCACGGTCCGCTGAACATTACGCGCGCGTTTCTGCCGATGATGAGGGAGAGGGGGACGGGGACGCTGGTGTATATCAGTTCGCAGGCGGCGTGGCATGTTGAAGTCGGTGCTGGGGCGTATAGCGCGGGTAAATTCGCGCTCGAGGGTTTGTGTTTTGTGTTTCTTTTTGCCAACTCCATCGCTTCCACCTTGCACACCTTGAACATCAGTCTTGTTTTCTTGAGCTTGGTATCTTTTACGGTCTCCTCTCATCCACCCCCATCCCTGAACAAGAAAGAAGATGAGGAAGAGAAAGGCTGACCCTGCAACTTTGAACCCTCCCAAAGGCGCCGTCGAGACACTCTCCAAAGAACTATCCGTCCTCGCTCCAAACATAAAGGTCATCATCATCGAGCCGGGCTTCTTCCGCACCAAAGTCTTTAACAAGATATTCAATGTTCCAGCCCGTATTCCCGAGTTTGCAGAGTTCAACGCTGCGATCAGGGCGGGCGCCGAGGCGCTTCCGGGGACGGAGCTGGGGGACCCTGAGAAGGCTGTAGCGAGGACCGCGGAGCTGGTTCGGGGCGACGGGATGGCGAAGGACGGGGGCGGAGACGGGGACGGTGGTGGTGGTAGGGAGGTGCCGTTAAGGGTCGCACTGGGGAGCGATGGGTGGGAGAGGATTCGGGCTAAATGTGTGGGTGTTTTGGAGGGGTTGAGGGCTTGGGAGGATGTTGCGAGGAGTACGGATCTGTGAATGTTTCACTAGCAGTCTCCCTTTAGAAAGAGTTTGGAAAACACAAGAAAAGTAAGGAGATGACCAAGATTCAGCCTGCAGGCTTCTATTCCTCTTGTCTATTCAAGCCCCGGGAAAATACAGTTGTCACTCCCCGACGCCGTAGCTCTTTACTCTACTAAAGAAGAAGGGCTTATCGTTCTTCAACGCAAACTCGCCCAGGTCGTCCGTCAGCTTGTTGTAGCTGTAGAAGCCCTTCCACACGAGCTTGGTGTTGCGCGCGCCACCCTTGCCGGCGTTGCGCATCTCTAGATACATCCTGTACGTGTACTTCGCCCCGACCCCCTCCGTCTCGACGGCCACGTCGCCCTCGACCTCCCCGAGCGGCCTGTCCGGGTGATCGAGCGCCGAGGATAGCCGCCACCGCCCGCGAAGGCCGTGCTGCATGACGACGGACGGCAGGTGCGCCGTGCCGCCGCCGCTACTGCGCCGATGGAGCTCAAGCAGGTCCTTTGTCATGTAGTGCACGACGTGGGCGGGTTCGTCGGTGGTGAGCAGGCTGATGGCGGTGCCGTCGCGGAAGAAGCGGAGGTAGCGGTAGTAGGTCACGATGTGGACGGGGCTGTTCCAGGTGATTTGGTTGGCGTTGGCCTGGCCCGGTCGGATGTAGTTCACGGTGCTGATGTAGCACCCGTTGAAGCGGATCCGCGGCCTGTGCCGGAACATTTTCCGCCAGGACGAGTCGTAGAGTTCCGGGAGGAGGGTGAGGGTTGTAGTCTCGCCCTCTTCCCTGCGGCGCCGCGCGAGCTCCTCCATGGTCACGTAGTCAAGGTCGCCGCTGTTGTCTTCCTCTTCCTCCAGCGGTTCCCAAGAGACGCCGCGTTGCCAGTGGTAGTGCATGCCCGCGAAGCCGAATTCCGGGCCGAGAGCGACGCGGCGCCAGATCTGCTGCTCCGTGGCGACGACGTAGGCGAAGCGTTTGCATATGAGGGACAGCCGCACAAAGTCGCCGACGTCGAGGACGGCCACGTCTTTGAAGATGTGGACGAGGATCTCTTCAGGCATGGCGGCAATGGGGCAGGGCGGCGCCGGGTCGCCTTCTACCGGCGGGGGCGCTGCTGCTACGGCGAGACCTGAGAAGCCGGCAATCAGCTCGCTCATTGTCTGCGTCTCTACGGGCTTGTTTGCTGCGCTTGTGGCGGCGGTCGCAGGACCTGATGCTGAGGGCTGTGGCGCTTTCGCGGCACCGGCGGGGAAGTGCTTTTTCCGGTATGCCAGGTCGACTCTATTATCCATCTGCAGTGAAAGCTTCAGTATGATGACGGTGGAAGAGGTGTATTAGCAAAGCACTGGCTGCTCACCCTGAATGCTTTCCGGTACAATTTGAGACTGTCCCCTAAGCTACCGATTGCCTCCTTTTCGACAGCTTCTTCAAAGTGATCCAGAGCGGATACCAGTTCTCTGGCCTTATTGGGATCAGACTGACCATCCAGTGTCGGACCGGACGCGGGCGGTGCTGGTTCATCGAAAACGAGAGATTGTGCGTATTCCTCATCCTCTTCTATTTGAGACCTCTTGGCAACTATGCTTTTGGGAATCTCTGTAGGTACCGAATGCTTGGATGACGAGGATGACTCCTTTTTCGAGTGAGGCGCCCGGGCTTCTGGGACTACCTTTTTGTGCTTCAGCTCAGTCTGCCATTGTTGCCGGAAAGACTCCAGCTCAGAATCGAGCTGTGGAGGTTGGTCTGCCATGACTGATAGCTATGATGCTCAAAAGTTACGAGCCGATGAAGCTGGGGAAGTGCTATGACGGTGACATTGATTATTTCTTTAAAAATCGAGCTGGGTGATGGCGTTGTTTGGCGGGTTTGAAATTCTGTATATCTTCAAGAACCGAAGCTGCGACATGAGATGTAGTTAAAGTCGACCACTCATCATCGACAATGATGCTGTAAGCAGGCACGGAAAGCACGCCGAACTGGAGTCAGACGGCGTGTGAGGTGCCACATGAGGTCCACCGTGCCTGGTGCTTATCGGTGACATTTTGTGGCGCACCGATGTATCCACCAGAGTTCCAACCAATTGGGTCAGAGGGTCGGTCCGTGACATCACCTTAAACGGTTTGGGCTCGGCTCGGCCAGCAAGGTGCCCCGGCGCCACCCATTTCATTATCTCCGGCAAATTTTTGGGGGAAGAAATGGAAGGGACCAGAGTCGGAGCGCGCACCCGATTTCGCAGTCATGACGAGGCGACTCTCCCGGTCTAGCGAACGGGGTAAGGCTAATTAATTCTCACCTTGCCTCTTCTTCCCACATCGTGAAAGCTGGTACCTTTTCCTCACCCCCTCATCCGTCAAACCGCCCGTCATTTTCCACTTTGGCCAACCTCTTACCGCACCACATTTCTGCCGAACGGATGACCGCAGCATCTCTCCCAAGCTCCGACTTCCCCGACGATGCAAGCTGGTCCGCAATGACTACCATCCACCAGGCCACCCGAGGCCAGGACCACGACAGATTTGATCCCGATGACTCTTTCCCAATGGCGCGAATAGCTCAGCCCCCGACCAACGGCAGCGGAGGAAGCGACGATGATATTACAGCGCCGCAAAAGATGATCTCGGCCATGTCGGGTAGTCTCTTGACATCGCTTCTCGGTAAGTTAGCTAAAGCGCGAAACTGGATTTGAGCTTCCATACGCTGACACGCATCTGCAGTGACGCCCCTCGACGTTGTCCGAATCCGATGGCAGTCGCAAAATGTCACCCCGCCGACGGTAGACTTTTCACGGCTGGCTATGACCACCGACACCCTCAAGACTTACAACACATCGAACCTCGGAGTCACAGCATGCTGCCGTGAGGTATTCTTCATGAACAACAACTCCGAACTATGTCTCGCGATGCCGAGAGCGGCAGAAGGCGCGGGAGCTTCTGCTGCTGCTGCATGCTCTGTCGAGGAGGTTGAGCGCAAGACAATCAGCTCTACCATGGACGGTCTGAAGAAGATTGCGCGAAATGAAGGATTCACCAGCCTATGGAGGGGTTTGTCTCCCACATTGCTAATGACGATCCCGGGCAACATCATCTACTTTACTGGCTACGACTGGATGAGATACAATAGAAAGAGCCCAATCGCGCAAAGGCTCAACGACGATACCGCTCCGTTGGTTGCCGGTTCCGCAGCTCGCGTTCTGGCCGCAGCTGCCGTCAGCCCGATCGAGCTCTTCCGTACAAGAATGCAAGCCTCGACAGGCAACTCTACGACCGGCCATCTCGCAAACACGTTCCGCGACATCAAGGATATGGTCCACAGCAGCGGATATACTTCGCTATGGAGGGGCCTGACCTTGACACTGTGGAGGGATGTGCCCTTCTCAGGTCTGTACTGGTGGGGATACGAGACGATCCGGGGTAGATTGACAGATTTCCGAGAGACCCGCCGCGGCCGGACTTTGGATACTAGAGGATCACGAACTCAGTCGCGGCGCAGGTCTCAGAGCCACGAAAACCACACGGAAACCATGACGGACAGCTTCATTGCTGGTGCCGTCTCGGGCGGGTTCGCATCGATAGTCACCATGCCGTTCGACGTGGGCAAGACAAGGACGCAAGTGTATCGCGAAGCGCCCCGTCAAGCGGGCGAAGCCAACGCGGCCAAGGCCGCTGCGGCTGAACAGGGCTCCATGGTGCGTTTGCTCTGGCATATCTTCACGACGGAGGGCATCGGCGGTCTGTGGAAAGGATGGATCCCCAGAACTCTCAAGGTGGCTCCGGCGTGCGCCATCATGATCAGCAGTTACGAAGTCGGAAAGCGGGTATTCAGGGGCGTCAACGAGAAGTCTAGGAGGGACGCAGACTAATATTGGAGCATCATCACTACTCATTCCATTCCTAGCATTATTGGGCGTTCAGCGGGCTGCTATCTATTGACGACGGGAAGGAAAAGAACCCAGGCCTGGAGTTTGCATGCCGAGCGGCATACGTCGCGGTTGGTTTAGACATTGGGGAAAGCAAAAAATCGTGTAATTCTAGTTGAAGTGTAATGATACCTCGTCCACAAAGTGGTTTTACTTCATGTCATACTTCAGTCATGGCTGATCCCAGCCTTGTGTGGAAGGTATGCATTGCCCAATAATGGACCAGTATTAACCCTGAGGTGAGATAAGGTAAGGTAAGGTACTTAAGGTACCTAAGCCAGACAGATATCTTGATGAAGTCACCACTTCGTACCAAATAGCCGACGGGAGCTCTCAGGGGCGATTGGAACCGCTAAGCAGCCGGGGCCGCTCCAGGGCTGCAGCTCCCAGGCAGCTCCCCGCCCCCTACCAGCCACTAAAAGGCTTCAGGACGCGCCAGAACAGCGGGTCAATCAACTCGCGTTAATGACTTTTTCCAGTTGGTAGCGCGTCACCACGCGACGTTCCGCAAACTGAGTGTTCGAGCTTTAAGGCCAATGGAGGGCTAAGGGAAATCTCATTCTTGACTACACTCCATACTCCGTCTCTCTTCTTCCCCCACTCCAAACCTCTTTCTTAGCCCATTGTATTACATCTTTTTAACGTGAACAAGACCGACCCAAATCTGAATTCTGTACCAGCTCAATGACGAATTGAGAATTCTTGTCAGGTCCAACTCTCCATTACAATTAGTCCTCTACGCCTCTCCAGGTTAGCAACCTACGCCGTCCTACGTCCGCGGCCAGGTCAACGGCCTGCCAACGTCATCGTCTCCCTCTCGTATAGCCTTCCCTCTCCACACGTCAACATGTCCACACTCAAGCGTAAGGCCGGCACGCTGTCCGCCTCCGACAGCAAGAAGCCCAAGCAAGATGGGAGCATCATGTCCTTCTTTGGGGCCCCGAAGCCGGCGGCCGGCAACAAGGGGGCCGGTGCTGCGGCCGCTCCCGAGGCGCCTGCGGTCAAGTTTGACAAGGCCAAGTGGGTTGCCGGACTGACGGCCGAGCAGAAGGAGCTGCTGCAGCTCGAAATCAGCTCGCTGCACGAGAGCTGGCTCGCCCT